ACACACACAGTCAATACCCGTAGCTTAGAACATAACAAACAATGGACACAAGAGACCGGAAAGAGTTCTGAGCATTAATGGGTTTACAGAATTTCTAGTGCCATGACTGAATAGTGAAGTGCTTTTAATGCAGCTTCCTTCTCCAGAACAGCTATCTCTGTTCTTTCAATCAGACCTTGGTTAGTTCTCTTTGTCCTAGGTCTAAAGAAAAGCAGAAAGCCATTAAATGCCATCATCAGCATCCACATTGGTGAGTTCTGGATGGTAACACGTTACAACTTGGTGACCAACTTTTTCAGCAACTTTTTTAGGGAATCGTGATTTACAGGATTGAAGGCATGTAGGCTATATATCGCTAAACATTCATGTATTATTTTCTATTAAGTTGTGTACAATTCCAAAACAGCAGGCAGTAATATCAGAGAGTCTGTACAATAATCACATCAATGTCTCCAGATGTAGTGAATGTTCCAACAGTGGAAATTTTTAAAAAGAGATTGGACAGCCATTTGTCTGAAATGGTATAGGATGTCCTGATTGAGAGTGGGTTGGACTAGAACAGTGGTCTGTGAGAAAATTTTGGTGGTCCACAGAGAAATGTCACACCCAAAGCACTCCCCAAAGCCAGGCTGCATGGGAACACAAGGCTGCACCGCGCACATGGCCCGCAGGAACACAAGGCTTGCGTCACTTGCATTGCGAACAACACGAGGTAGTGAGGAGAGGGGGGAAAGGGCGGAGGGGGGGAACTTGCCCCACATGCCTCACCTGGTCACCGGGCTGCTTCTTTCCGCTTCTTTCTTCTTCTGCTTTTGGCTGCACGCAAGGAAAGTAGCAAAAGTCTCTCTCTCTCCCCCAAACTCCACCAGAAATGAGTCTTTGGGACCGTGCAAGGCATCCTGCTCCAACAGGCTACGCCAGTGCGACAAGTCTCACAAAGACTCATTTCTGGCAGAGTTTGGGGGAGAGAAAGAAAGACTTCTGTTGCTTCTGCTGCTTTCCTTGCACAAGGCCAAAAGTCTCTCTCTCTCTCTCTCCCTGAGAACGGAGCTGGAGACAGTATCCTGCGATCCCAAATAAAGAATGATCAATCAGTAGGAAAACGGGGTGGGGAATTTTCCTGCAGACTTTTTTGGATTTCCCCAGGGTCTCTGGTCCATGGGATTTAAAATTATGAGTTTGGTGGTCCCTGAGGTCCAAAAGGTTGGTGACCCCTGGACTAGAAGACCTCCAAGGTCCTTCCAACTCTGTTATTCTATTCTATACTATACTATACTATTTTGTTCTGTTCTGTTCTGTTCTATTGTTATAATTGAGTATAGATTTAAGAAACTGATACTATGTACAGCTTCAGGCTAAGAAGTCATTATATGCCTATATACATTTTGCCAAATGTCTGAGAAGAAGGTCACACCACCAATGTTCAACTACTCTACTGTAACTATTACCACTGCCACCACCCGCTACACTAGTGGATACAGTGGTTATTAGTTCTATGGCATCAAGAATTGCTACTCCGGAATACTAAGCACCATGTTTATTATGGTAGATAGAATGTTTTCTCACTTAAAATGCTTGTAAAAAAATAAAATTATGAAATTAGTTAAGGAACTGTACAGAGAAATAGCAGAGACTTCATTTTCTGTTGAATGTTTCATTGGAAATGTTTATTCCACACAGCAACAGCTGGGCTTGGAGGAAAGCTGGGTATTTGAAAACAATAAAGAGCTCTGCAGATTAAAAAAAATGAATTATAGCCTAGAGTTTGGGGTAAAACATGAATAAGAACTATATGTAAAAGTATAGAAATTCTGGAGAGTTAATGTTGCTGTTAACTCTGTTACACGCTGACACGCTGTTCTGTTCTTATTTACTTGGAAGTCAATTCCACTAAATGAGAATGAGACATACATGTAAATATACATATGAGAGCAGCCTCATGGGAAATTTATATAAATAATAAGTATGCAATTCTGAATGCCAAGTAGAACTGATTACATTTTGACTATTATACAGAGAGAAACCTGGTTTGGTGTAGTGGTTAAGAAATCAGGCTGGAAGACCAGGAATTCTTGTCTTGTTTTAGACATGAAACCATCTGGCTGACCTTGTGTCAGTCACTTTCTCTTAGGCTCCAGGAAGAAGAAGGCAACACCTTACCACTTACAAAAATCTTGCCAAGAAAACTGCAGTTCAAGGAGTCGCTAGAGATCAGTACTGCCTTACAGGGACACCTCCCCACACAATTATAAGGAGGTTTTCTGCACTGATGTACTATTCCACAGATACAACTTTATAACAAAATGCAAGCTATCTTTTGAGACTGACATTTAGGATTGAGTCTCTGAATTGGTGGGTGACACAGGACAAGTGTGGAGGACAGGCGTGTCATCCTATACTTTGGAACATTTTGCAGCCGGAGGTGAGATCCACCCCCAACCTTTTGGACATCCAGAAGGGTCTTAAAACTTGGCTTGGGAACTTCCGGTGATGAAGTGAGGACGAACAGAGGTGTAGAAGCCCATCTCCGGTCCTTCTAAATCCTTTTTGCTGTTTGGCGTGACCCCTCGGGGTGCATGGTTCCTGTAGAGAACTGTGCTAGTATTGGGAGACTCAGGCTGTGGTGAGAGGGGAGGGCAACCCCTCATTGCAACAAAGAGAAACCCTGCAGAGGCTATCCAGCAAGAGATGGCCAGTTTGTAATGGCGATCCCATAGTCTGAACTGTCACCTGCGAAAGGAAGAGAGCGAGTGACAGCCTGTGGCGGCTAAAGAAGAGGTTTGTGTGGAGATCCTGTGAGAGTGTTTGATTATTGATTGGTGAAGAGATTTGTTGAGAAGCAACAAGCTGATCGGAGCCTGGGAAGAAGCGGCGAAGAAGAGGGGACGCGAAAGTGTCTGAAAGTGAAAGGACTCGAGATGAAGAAGTGAAGATTAACAATAGCGACCTAGAGGAGAAGGAAGCTCGGATTGGAGAGGTTTGCTATATTGTTGCCAGTTGGAGAAAAAAGTTTGACTCACGGAGGTTTGGGGTGCTTTTGGATTATTTTTTGCTTGGAAGGATTGGGCTGGCTACTTTTGAGACTGGGAGAAGACTAGAACCTTTGAAGTAGATTAAAGACTTGTGGTTATAGATAATATCAATAACTGATTTAAGTCTCTCTGGACATGGAACGGGGACTGCTGGCTGGGGGAGTACTTTAGTGGAGAATTTTGGAAAAATTATTTGCTTGAAACCCAAGATGGAAGGAGGACTGTGTACTGCTGTGTGTGTTGAGATATTAGGAAGCCATAAACGTTACTCAGCAATTCTTTTTTTTTTCTTTTTTGCCTGAACGTGAGGAAGTGAAATCATCTAGCTTTAGAGATGGAGAGCTGGATAATTAATTTAAGACTCTCCCCTTTCTTTAATTTTGGATATTTGGATCAACTATTCTATATTTTATTATCCTCTACTTATGTATTGACTGAAGAAGGAGAGACATTTGATGAGTGTAATTGTGAGATATTCTGCCAGACCTAACTGATTTATCAGCAGCTTGTTAAGTAATATTGATATTGATAACAATAATCATTTAATATTTATAATATTTACTTCATTTATAGTAATAACTGATTAACTACATATTAATATTTGAAAATATCTTGCTTATTACTTTAAATAATCAATTGACTTTTTCAGGTTAATCTATTTCTAAAATTTTCTATGTGCATTGTTGAAGCCTTTATAATACTATAATATAATATTGTCTCATAATATATATAGATATATATCTTTATACATATGTGGAACAGTATAGAATATACAATAGACAAGATTTGTATATAATTAGAGAGATAGGAGAAGATATCTATCACTACTATTACTTGGATTTCATAATACTGAGAAATAAGCGTAGATTTTACATATGCATATATTTAATTTAGAACTTTAATTTGAGATTATATTGGATAGTATCTGCATTTACAAGTTTGTTGAATATATTAAAGAAATTAGGAAATTAAGAGATAGATAGACAAATTAGTTAATTAGTTTATCGGTCAATTTAGCTTATTGGTTAATTTTACGATATATTACTTAACAGTGAATGCTAATCTGGGACAACGTAATCAATATAATACAAAAACAGAAACAAATTTTAGGAGAAATGACTTCCATAACTACTACAACGCTTAAAGCTGGAAAGAAGACGACATTAACAACTCCAACAGCAATACCCTCACCAACGTCACAGAAGACAATTGAGGAATCATTAACATTGGAGAAACAGCCTTCTATTACAAATGCCAATATCCATTCGACACTGCTTACTCTACAAGATTCTATATCAAAGCTACAAGAAATAATGCTCAAAAACCATATAGAGATGAGAGCAGATATAAATGAACTAAAAGAAGAGATGGGGAAATTAAAAGCAGAAATGAAAGCAGATATTTCTAAAGTAAATGAAAAAATTGGAACATTACAGCAAGTATTGGAGAAAAACAAATTGATAATAAAAGAAGTAGAGAAAAGGACAGAACAAACTGAAAAAAAAATTGGAAAGAGTGGATTAACACTTAAAGACTGTGAGTAAGGAAATGGATGATTCCCTGGTGTATTTAGAAATGGACAAGGCTGCAACATATCTAAGATTCCAAAATATAGTGGAATCAAAAGAAGAAGACTTAGATCAGGTGATGGCAGAAATCTTGGTGGAAGTATTGGAAGGAGACGAAGATGAGATTCTGAAAGAATTGAATGAAGTCTATAGAGTAAGTACTAATTATGTAAGATGACACAAATGTCCAAGAGAAGTGCATGTATGTTTTGCAAGAAGAAAGGTCCGGGACATTATATATAAAATATCAAGAGATGAAACAATCAAGTATAAGGACAAAGAAATCTCAGTTCTTAAACAAATCCCAAGAAGGGTTAGAGAAGCAAGACAAGATTACAAATCCCTGGCGGCTCAATTAAATTGAAAAGGTATTATGTTTAAATGGCTTGTCCTGGAAGGGATGTTAATTACTTGGGGGGAAAGAAAAATTAAAGTAGACTCTTTCGAAAAAGCCCAAGATTTCTATGAAAGACTGGTAGGCTCTGAAGAGCAGACCAACAAAGACGAATTAGAACCAGAATCCCAAGAAGACCAAGAGCATCAAAAGAAGGGACAGAAGACCCCAGAAAACTTGAAAAACAACCAGCAACAACAAGAAGAAAAAGAAGAAAGCAAGGCACAGTATCAACCACAAGTAGAACTTGGAGTAACTACAAGACAAAGAGTGAGAAATAATTAGACTTAGACTTTCAGGAAGAATAAGACTAATCAAAAATAAAGAAGAAAAAACAAGAAGTAAGAAAATTCATCCAGTAACAACAAGAAAGAGAAGATTTTAGATTAAAATCATAGGAACTCAAAAAATATACAACAACAAGAGAGAGAAGAACTGAAGACACACAATCAGCCACAAAGAGAGAAAAGACAAAGAGCAAGAGTCAATTAGGTGATGGTCGAAGAAAAGAAAATATCATAAATTAACATAAATGGCCTAAACTCTAGGATAAAAAGGAAAAGAATACTAACCAAACTAATTAAACAAAATACAGATATAATATGTTTACAGGAAACTCATATAAGGAAGGAAGAAGAAAAATATCTAGAATGGCCCAAGCTAGGGAATTTATATACGTCGCCAGCAGATCTTAGGGAAAAAAGGGGGGGATAGCAGTATATGTGGAGCGACATGAAAGCAGAGCTAATTTGGACAGACCCCCAATAGAAGAATTCTGGTGTTACAAATTTGGATTAAATCAATTCCAATTCTATTAGTGGTAATTTATGCCCCTAACGATAACCAAAAGGAATTTTTTAAACAATTACATGGGAAAATAGTGGAATTAGAGAAAAGGAATATTTGTATCTTGGGGGATTTCAATGCTATTGTGGACCATCAGAAAGATCACAGTAGCAGGGGGGGGGGAGAAGAAAAAAAGAGAACTACCGAAAACATGTGAGGAAATGATGATTGAACTAAATTTGATAGACACGTGGAGGAAATTAAAACCCTGAGAAAAAGCAATTTACATTTTACTCTAATCCTCATCAGTCATGGACACGAATTGATATGGTGTGGATAAATGGTGAGCTAGTAAATGAATTAAAAGAGATTGAAATTTTACCAAACGAATGGGCAGATCACAATCCGATTCAGATAGTGTGGAAAGGTAGGAAGAAACCAAGGAAAAGGTGGACTTTAAATACACAGCTAATTAAAGAGAAAGAATTTATGAATAGACTTAAGGAGGAATTAGACTATTTCTTAAAAGAAAATAACAATGAGGCAACTACGAAACAGAACATTTGGGATACAATGAAGGCAATAATAAGAGGCACAATGATATCATACACCGCTAAAAGAAATAAAGAAAAATATGCCCAACAAAATAAATTAGAACAAAGAATCAAAGAACTAGAAACTCAGCTACAAAACACCCCAAAAGATTGTAAATTGAAAAATCAGATGATAATAACTAAACATAAATTAAATTTAATTGAACAAGAGGGAATGGTTTCAAAGTTGAATACAGCTAGACAGATATTCTTTGAACAGGCCAATAAACCAGGAAGGTGGTTGGCCTACACACTTAAAAAAGAAAAACAAAAAAAGATTGATCTACCAACTAGTAGATGAAAACGGGGATGCTCAACAAGGAATAGAACAGAAAAAAAGAAATTGCAAGTAAATTTTTTGAACATCTTTATAAAAAGAAGGAGGTAAACGAGAACATGATAAGAAACTATTTGGGTATTACTAAAGATAAAATAATCGAGGAGGAGATGAAGGAAATGTTAACTAGAGACATTACGTGGCCCGAGTTAAAAACAGCAATAGAAAACCAAAAGAACAATAAAACCCCAGGACCTGATGGGATACCAGGGGAACTTTATAAGAAAATAGAACAAATAGGACCTCTCATGATGGAAGTATATAATGAGGTCTTACTTGCAGCAAGAATCCCGGATTCATAAAAGGAGACACTGATATCGTTGATCCCGAAAGAAGACTCAGACTTACGACTTATACAAAATTATAGACCAATTTCCCTGTTAAATACTGATTATAAAATGTTTACCACAATTATAGCAAATAGATTAAAAAAATATTGAAGAATATATACATAAAGATCAAAACAGATTCCTTCTCAATAGACAAATTAGGTATAATTTAAGAATAGTACTAAATGTTTTGGAATATTATGAAGCCCACCCGGAAAAACAAATAGCCCTTGTATTCTTGGATGCACAGAAGGCCTTGGACAACCTAAATTGGCAATTCCTAATCCAACAAATTTTCAATATGAATTTAGGCACTAAATTTGAAAACATTGTGACTACAATTTATGATTCACAAAAGGCGAATATTATAATTAATGGAGAGTACACGCGCCCAATAAAAATAGAGAAAGGAGTTAGGCAGAGATGTCCATTATCTCCCCTGCTCTTCATATTATCTTTGGAAACATTGCTTACACGAATTAGACAGAACCCAGGTATAAAAGGACTAAAAATTAAGAAAGAAGAATATAAACTGCAGTCATTTGCAGATGATGCCGTTTTTTTCATAGAGGAACCAATTGAAACAGGTCAAGAACTATTGAAAGAGTTAGATCAATTTGGGAAAGTTGCAGGACTTAAAATCAATAGGGAAAAAATGAAATTAATAACTAAAAATTTAACAGAAAAACAGAAATTAAAATTGGAAAGGATAATGGGATTACAAATAGGACAAAAAGTTAAATACTTAGGAATTTGGTTGATGGCTCAATGCAAAACCCTAATGGAAAATAATTATAATAAACTACTACAACAAGTCAAAAAAGATTTAGAGATATGGGTCAAATTGTAAATCTCTTTACTAGGGAGGATTGCCACTATAAAAATGAACATTCTGCCCAAATTTATTTACTTATTCCAAACAATACCAATAAAAATACATAAAAATTACTTTGGGAAACTTAACAAGATAATCACCAAATTTATTTGGCAAGGGAAAAAAACCGAGGATAAACCTAAAGGCAATGCAAGATTTGAAGAGCAGGGGAGGTATGGCACTCCCAAATTGGGAAATATACTACAGTGCAGCCTTCTTACTTAGGTTGAAAGAGTGGGTAAACCTATCGAATAAAAGAATCTTATTTCTAGAAGGCCACGACTTACAGAGGGGGTGGCACGCATTTTTATGGGACACTGGAAAAATCAAACAGAACTATTTCCACAGACATATAATTAGAGATTCCTTATTGTCTAATTGGAATAAAATAAAAAAAACATTATTTAAAAATCCCAATCTGGATCTCAATGATGGAGGCGATGATACATCCAAATAATCTAGATCTTAACAAAATGATAAAATACAAAGACCTTCTTGATGCGCAAGGAACTTTAAAATCATGGCAAGATCTCCAAGAACAAGGGCTACAAGTAGACTGGTGGGCTTACCTGCAAATTCAAAATAGATATAGTCAGGATAAGAAAAGTTTTGGAATTTATGCTAAGCCACAACAATTAGATAAAATCCTATTAGGCCCAGATTTAAAAAAAATATAACTAAATTTTATAATTATTTATTAGAGATAGAATTAGAAGAGGAAGTAGTCAAAGGCAACATGATAGCTTGGAGTAGAAACATAGGACGTAGCATTACATTATTAGAATGGGAAAAGGTCTGGACCAATAAAAGGAACAATAAAATCACAAAAGCAGCAACATATAAAGAAAATGCCTATAAAATGTTTTATAGATGGCATCTCTCACCCTTGAGAATAGCAAAGATGTCTCCTAACATGAATCCGAATTGCTGGAAATGTAAAAAGAAACACGGAACATTCTTTCGCATGTGGTGGTCCTGCACTGAAGCCCAAAGATACTGGCACAGAATAAAAAAATGGTTAGAGGAAATAACGGCGGAGCAAATTGAATTAAAACCAGAATTCTTCTTACTGGGGATATTTAATAGACAAATTTCTAAAAAAGTCAAATATATAATACTGCACATTCTTACTGCAGCCAGAATAACCTTTGCACAGTGTTAGAAACAAGCAGATATTCCAACAGAGGAAATGGTCATTCAGAACATAACAGCCTGTGCAGAGATGGATAAATTAACCTTAGCACTTAAGGAAAAAGAAACATCAGAATATTATAAAAGCTGGGAATGCTGGTATGACTGGATAGAACAAAAATAGAAAATATATTAGTAAACACCATAAAATGTAAAAGAGGTAGTAATTATATACTTGCAATAAGATGTATTTGTAAATATGTCACCAATATTGATAACAAACAAGGAACCATAGACTGTCGATAATAGAATTGCTCGGTTTTTTTAATCGTTTTTTTTTTCCTTTTTCTTTTTTCTTTTTCTTTCTGTGTATTGTGTATGTGTTTGTTTGACATTTGTATAATTAATAAAGTTTGTTTTTTAAAAAAACTTGGCTTGGGGTCATTCTACAATGGAGGTGGTTGGTGGATCCCACCTCTGTTACCACTAATGCTCTTGGTACTTATTTGTTATCTAATTCTTGTAATTTTAATACTTTTATGTTTATGACTCTATGTGTTATAAGTCACTCACAGTCACTTTGTATAGTGAGATCGACGGCATATAAATGTTTTTATTATTGATTCAAATCCTGGAGACTCTGAAGGAAGATGATATGATCTTGTGAAGTGAAATGGATACATACATGCAGCGAAGTGAAGATGTAGATTTAAAGTGAATGAAAACATGAAAGTGGGTCTCAGAAAGTATGGATCTGTGCCATTTAGATTGTTATGGGTGTGTACTAAAATAGGAAATAACAGATAATAACAGATACTCAGAATTGGAAGGGATCTTGTAGGTCATCTAGTCCAACCCCTTGCCCAAGCGGGAGACCCTACACCATTTCTGACAAATGGCAGTCCAATCTGTTCTTGAAAGTGTCAAGTAATGGTGCAACCACAACTTCCGAGGGCAAGTTGTTCCATTGGTTGATTGTTCTCACTGTCAGAAAGTTTCTCCTTATTTCCAGATTAAATCTCTCCTTGTTCAGTTTCCATCCATTATTTCTTGTCTGGCCTCCAGGCGCTTTAGAAAATAGCTTGACCCTCTCCTCTCTGTAGCAACCCCTCAAATATTGGAAGACTGCTATCATGTCTCCCCTGGTCCTTCTCTTCACTAGACTAGCCAAGCCCAGTTCCCATATTCTTCATAATCATAGACTAGTCATATTATATGCC